AGACCTACATTTCTGTCTTATCTTTCATTTACTGCTTGTGCTATTTTTTCCCCACTATCTTGGCTGCATACTCTTCTAGCACTGTTCCATGAGAGACCCCTGAGTCTCTCAGCCCCGAGTTCTGTTTCTGTTTCTCTATCAATTGTGGTAAGCATGGCATTAAAAGACACTTGCAGTTGGCATTTTGGTTATCATAGCTCTGGCGTACCTTATAACCACACTGTGAATTAGAATTAAAATGACTTTTTTTTTCTCCTTAGAGCCACACTAATTCACTAAGACGTCTTCAATGTTCCCATCAGGCTACTCATTTAATAAGCCTGTTACTGTAGCCAACCCAGCCTGTAAACTTGGTTTTCACAACTCTCACATCCTAGCCATCCAGGAAATCTAAGGCTGCACCCGAGTAACTGAATCAAGAAATTAGCAAAGGGTTCAAATTTGCTTTATCTTCCAAAACGGAGAGCATTCAGTACCCCACCCCCCCACCCCCGACAAGCGCTTCACCTCTGACGGCCAGTGCAGGCCCTGGGTTTATTAGTTAACGGGAAAAGAAAGGAGAAAATGAAATTAACAAGATGGACGTCGGAGGAAGTAGGCGTTCAACTGTTTGCTCGTTAAAGCTAAATAAATAAGAATAAAGGTTATTAGCGTGTGACACTCCAGCATTAAGCAAGACAGATCACCACTGAGGAACGGAGCAGAAAAACTGATTCATTCCTCTGTCACTTGTTGCTAGTTCTACAATTACTCGAGTACAGTACTTGCCTGGTGCTTTGATCAAAAGCAGCTTACAGTGTCACCCATTCATGCAGTCGGGTATTGTACTGGAAGGGTTTTAACTGAACTACTCTGGTCAGGGTGTCAACAAAAGCACCTCACCCGGGATTTGAACCCCCAACTGTCTGGTTACTAGGCCAGAACCCTAACCCCTGCACCACGCTTCTGTAGTCAAAATAAACACAGTGCACCACCATGGGAAAGAAAGGCCCAGCTGAGGGAAGGAAATCGAAGAGATGGAGCAGGCCCAAGGCCGGGGAGAGACCACAAAGAGTGAAAATACAGTATGCCTCTGCAGGCAGCACTTAAGCAGGAAAACAAAGCCCCACGTGTGGCAACCTAGGCTTTGGGGACTAGGAGGTGCTGCACCAGGAAAGTTCTTCATTGTACAACCTTCAAGAAAGAGGGCCCCTTAATCGCTGAACCGTGAGAAACGGCGTGTCCGTTCCCACAGAGCCACAGCCCGACCATTTGTCAATTGAGGAAAACAAAAAAAAAAAGGGAACACATCTAGGTGAACCGCACTGCCTTCCCTTTTCCCAATATCCCAGCAAACCCGGAAAACGGCTCCCCGTTCGTAGTTAAGGGGATGCAAACTGCTTTCTAAAGAAACCAGCTATGCTTGTGACTCTTTGACTCCCAGGGGCCTAGGATCTCCAGTTAGATCTACCACGGGAACCACAAGTCTGAGATGCAGACAGAAGGCACACAGGCCTGTGCTTAAATTTCACTTTTAGGATCGGCTGATCAAAGCACAGAAATGCAGATGTTTCCAATCATAACCAGAGTCGGTTTTCAGATTCTTTTTCATGGTGTCTAAAGCAGGAAACATGGATGCTAATATTATTACAGAGTCAGCTACACTGTAGGTTTGAAAGTCGAAATGATTAACAAAAGTGAATTTTGTGAGCAAAGGCTTCATGTTTAGGGTTATATACTGGAGAGATAATGAGCCATTCGCGGAGAGTACTTGCACGTGCACAACGTTCTAAAGACATTTTAATGGCGTCCTCTTAAATTACTCGGGGGAAAAATAAACAAAAATAAATTCAGGTAATTTGACGAATAAGGTAAGATAATTGCAATTTTTTTCTCAGTCATCCCTTGGAGACACTTAATTTCACTCTGCCACAAAACTAGAGACTATCTTTTGAGGCAATTTTATTATAGTGATCTAAAGTAGAACAGAACAGTCAAGGATGAGCCCGAGAAGAGGTACAAAATTCAATTATTCCCACTCAAAAGGTGCGAGACTTATCTTTTTTCGTCTTAGAATCTAGTACCATAATGCATAACATGATGTAAAGGATGTGCTAAAATGTAAGAAATATGCATAACTTCACAGACCTTTCCAGGAACTCTCACAGGACTAAACCTTGAGTAAACCTGGCAGCTCCTGTGAGTTTTGTTAGATTGCTCTTGCACAAAATCGTGTTGGCCACAGATTTCTATAAATGCTTAATTGGCTAAAAGCTTAATTGGCCTTACAGAAACATAAATGTGACATACTTCCTTTAAATAGGAACTGCTAAAGAAACACAGTCCATGCAAAAGAACAACTCCTCTCTTACATCAAAAGACGCAAACTTGGCCCAAGAACAAACCCAAGTCCTTTCGTTTAATGGACAGTAAGAAGGAAGATTTCTTTTCTGACCAAAAAAGGAAAGAGTGGTACCTACCATCCAGTCAGCAGCAGAAATCGGCTTATTCCTGTAAAGCTCTGCAGAACCCTGATGCCTATTCTGAAAACTCAGCGCACAAGGCACGATTAAACTCTGGACAGAATACCAGGCTATCACAGGGAGCACACACATAATATGGACAATTTAGAGGCACCAATTTATTCAGACCTTCTGTATTTGGAGAGTGGATGGAAACTTTTATAGGGAAAACCCACAGAGCATGCAGACTCCACACAGAAAGATATAACCAACCCTACAATCCAGGAACTGGGAGCCAACTATGTTGCCTTATCACCATACCAGTCATCAGTAGCACCCATTAGACTGTAATGTAAAAATAACGGTTCAGAACGTGAATACACAGCCGCTAAACAACATGACGGCTCTTTTTTGCATAAAAGCTTCCATTGGTATTGGTTATTCCAATGTTAAGAATTGCAACAAGCTGATTTTTAAAAAAATGTTTCAATGTAAATTTTACTATATTCACGTAGTTTGTACTTTCTCACACAAATGAGTGGCATTATCAATGATTAACTTAAAGCTATAACAGCACACAGAAAATGTAACTAGACGGTTTCTGAAGGGTATCGATTTTAAAACGCAATGCCGCAAAGTAGCAGGTTTATTTTGTTTGCTTATGATAATTGTGATACTGTTTCCGTTTTCTGTTTCTCCTGGGTTTGTATACGCCACATTGAAAGTCACTAATATGAGACACTATTCCAAATTCTTTAAGCATTAGATTTGAGTGCCGTGACGTTTTACTCCACATATCTAAAGAGAACATTATGTGCGCATGAGAGTATTACCGCAACGCATTAAAAGGGAGAAATGGTGAATCTGCAAAATTAAACATCATTCTAGTTGTTTATTCGAGTGTTGTGCGATTAAACACAAAAAGCATTGCCTTTTTCAATTAACACAATTTACCTTGTGGAAAAGCTGAATCAAGGACAGTAAACGCTGTTAGATTGCATTTTAGAGTGCAAAAAAGTGGGGGGGAAATTGTTTATCCCTGTCATGAAAGGTGTTTAATTTTACCCTTTGTCACTTTTTTGTGCGTAAGCTCCACCGCTGTGTTCCTTTTGCGTTTTATGTTGAAAAAATAAGACGTGAATCAAGTGCACTATACTTTGAGTTAAGACAATTAAACCAGCTGTTTAATTTGGGAAGTCAGTAAACCTAATTCCTATTTCCCCTCCTAGTTAAAGCATTTACCTTCTGGGGCCAAGGCCATTATCTGACAGATGCTTCTGTAAAAACAAGTCGGTACACGACTCTGGAGACCAGAGAATGCTAATTGAAAAACACCGAGCGCGAATCGTTCGTAAATACCCAGCGCAGTCACATTCACTTTAACCTACCGCCACCCTAGAGTCCTGCAGAAGTCGTTTGGCAATCCTGTCGCCACTAAAGATTTGTATGGATTATCCATTTTACGGATTGCCTGTCGCCGGCAATGATTAGGCTGCGACCGTACAGAAATACACGTCAGGAATGAAAAAGTTCATGCCTAAATGTTTCCCTCTCCAGTTAGAAAAAAGCGCAGTCTTCAAAGTCGGGACTTCCCTACTCATACCATAACACATTTTACAGTTCGTCCCCAAAGCAGAAGTTTTAAGGTGCAGTTCATCGCTGTAATCTGTGATTTAAAAAGACAGACCCCATACTGGTTTCGCTTTACTGTTCTTTTTGGAGTCACGGGTCTGAAAGACATTTTCCCCTCAAAAAAAAAAAAACTCACTATCTACACACCCCACTCCTGTGAGGCTTGTGGTGTCCAGTACAGTATATACTGGGGAGAAAATACACTAAAAAAAAAAACAGAACTGCAGCCTAGTAAGAATTGGGTGTTTTCATTTTTGTTTTTTCCTTTTTATGAACGGACTTGAATCACATTTCTGTAGTATTAACTGGGGTTTCCTAAAATGAAGACGTCCGTATTTAATTTTCATGCATTTAACATTGTTACAGCAGTGTCACGCCGAAAATTGTTTTATTTAGAGAAGAGGCGTGCATTGAGTGATGACTGTGCCCGTACTAGTTTAAATTTACCTTCGGGCACTGTGTAGTCTTGTAAAGATGGTTTGTACATTCCTAGCAGATTTCAGTCCAAACCAAACTGGACTGGAATCTTTAGAAGTGAAGTCGAGAAGGAGGGGGGTGAGAGAGAATTGATCACACGAGGTTACAAAATCACCCTCACCTCCAACATTAAGAAATGTTCTTCTACAGCATTAATAAGGGTTAAAAAAAGAACTAGGCTGTCTCATTAACTAACTCCAGGCGTCTTGCATGAACTGTTAATCCTATATCACTTCAACAAGTACAATTTCTATGCATTACGTACTGTGTATATATAATCTCCATTTTCCAACTCTAGATGTCCAGCTAGAACCCTGCAAATACGTGCATTGATTGTTTTTTCCCCAGTCTGCGGCAGGTCCTGTTTTTAATTCCCACGAACTCAAAATCAAGCACAATCAAATACAACCCCCCCCAAAAAATAGGTGTGCCTTAAAACTTGCGACTTACCGTAATAAAGGTAACCATAGCATCCGTGTAGAATTATCCAACAAAGTCGACATGAAGGTGATAATGTTAGCGAGCCGATTTGAAAGTTCTCAATGAAAAGCGAAGTGCATGTTACCACGGTCGTCGTAGTGTGAAACTGCAGAAAAGAACTTAAGTCTCTCTCTCTCCTCTCCCTCTCTCTCCCCCCCTCTCTCTCTCGGGTTGCAAACGTAATCTTCTCGACTACAACCAAACAGATGGCTGTTTTAGACTCGCGGAATCTTTGCAGATTGACTCAGACGCAGGACCACACAAAAACTAGCTGGCCTCTTCAGAACTGCTGCCTCTGCCTCTCATTGATCTGAGAAATGTAACAATTTTACTAACAGCCGTCCAACAACAACGATGGCAGCAACAATAACGCTAGGTTACGTCTAATCTGTATTTCTTCCAACACCTGACAAAACGCATTAAAAAGAAGAGCAGGAGAGCAGGACATGCCTTGAAATTTGATAGTGAAATCATGACGAATGTTGGCGATTGCACCATTTTTTTTTTCAGAAAAGAAGTTCAGAAGAATTTTGCACAGTGGTGTTTCCAATATGTTGGTAGCCAACATACACTTTGAGGAAACGGATAAACCAGATAATAGTTCGTACTTGTGCGTGCTCATGTTTCAAATTGTTTTCAGACTTTATTCTGACTGCTATCTTACTAAATTTTCTGGGGTTTTTTTTGTGGGTATTATGGGGAAATGTCTTAGCCTTAGCGGTTTTGCAGTGACTCACCTTGTCTTAAATAATTTTGCGTTATAAACCTTATAAAGATATTGTGACGTTGTTCATTTTTCTAACTAATGTAACGAAATTGTCAAAAAACAACGCGAACTTTTCAAGACGGCTGAAGTTCACCACTGACAAATTTCAGGTTTCACCAGTTGAATGAAAGGTATATAAATTAAGTCTGATTGTAAGAATTTGTACTTTACTTTTTGTACTGTAGATGCACCAATTGGATTGTACTGTACGTATTGTTTGATAGAAAACCCTATACGTAGTTATCCGTTTTCTGATCGCTTGTGTGGATGCAGACACACATATTGAGAATAATAATAGTAGTTAAATACAGTTCAATAGAACAATAGGGAGTATTAAGTATTTTAAGGACTTGAACGTAATCGTAAAAAAAAAAACACAAAAGCTTGCAGATGAATTCATTTCCTCATTAATAACCCTTCCCTCGCCCTCTGTACAGCACTGCCCTTTCCGTACCCACTACATCAAGCCGCCGTGGGATAAAACGCTTTTTATCACGCGTATTAACGTTTTTTTTAAAGGACGATGCATATCACACAAATAAAATAACATGGTTTTATGTTTTAATCGATATTTATGCCACTGCATCTGTTAAGTCCTACACAACGAACACAAAGTACACATTGATAACGGTACTGTAAAAATTAAACACTGAAACCCACAACGCGCAAGTAGGACAAGCGTATAGTGCATGTACAGAAAAGTATTCTTGCACATAAACTACATGTACAGTTTTCAGCAGAAATACCCTAATTGAAACTACACACTCAGTATACATCAATTTTCCATACTGTTTGTTTATGATGTAGATCCAATTTGTGTATTGTTTTAATTATTCTGAATGTGTGATGTTGCAGAGGTTAGCACTGCTGACTCAGCACTGGGCCTGGGGTCCATTATGGGCCTGGGGTGCTGTCTGTGTGGAGTTTGCATGTTCTCTCTGTGTTCGTGATGGTTTCTTCCCAAAGTTCAAAGATGCTCCAGCAGGTTAATTGCCTTTTGGGAAATTTGGCTTTAGTGTGTGTGTCCTGTGATGGACTGGTCAATGCATTCTGTAAGTTATTACTTCTGTACAGCTTTCGTTTACATCAGGGGGTGTTAAACATGTTCCTTCCTTTAGGTATATATATTGTTTTTTTTTATCTAAGCGCTTAATAAATTACTTATCTTAATTACAAAGCTGAATTGGTCGGAATAACAGTCTGTTCCCGGGGATTAACAACGGATGATTCAGGGAGGGTTACAAAACCTGCTTAGCTGTGAAAAACGTTGGCCATCCCTGCACAGTCCTGTCTTCACAACCTGCGTTAAGTCAAAGTTTGCTAGGGAGGCACCTGTCTGCTTTTAGGAGCAAAAAAAAAAAAAACGTCAAGTGGATGCTTGAAAACGTTTATTGTTCCCAGACAAGGAAGCATTCCACAATATTATACAATGATTAAAGTGGTGCAGCTGCCAGCAATGCTGTGGACCCTGGGTTCCATTTTAGACCTGGGGTGCTGTCTGTGTGGAGTTTGCATGGGTTTCCTCTGGCTGCTCCAGTTTCCTCCCCCAGTCAAGTTGGAAGGGTAAATTTCCTATCCAGGGACAGTGTGCCTGTTGCTTGCTGGGATAGACTCCAGCTCCCCTGCATCCCTGAAACGGATAAGGAGGTTAGAAAAGAGATAGATAGGCCGTCTTGAAAGAAGTGTCTTTCTGGGTAACAGAGATGTATGCTAGATGGCCAGCTGTCACATATCACGGACTTAGAAATGTGCAATTGGTAAATCTATAGTTGAACTCTTTTTACTATAAAAGAAAAACCTTCCTATCTTTCCTGCTGTAAGTTTCTGTGTTTCCTCTAACCTAGGAGACATAATTGTGTGGGAGCGCATGAAATAGCCATGCTTTATTTTCCGTATGAAAAGAATGCATGACCTTGGTCGAATCGCGATCCGTGAGGTTTGGCAATCCCTTAATGCCCACCTACTGTATTTGACACATCTGTGAAATCTGAAAAGAATTACACGACGGCGAAAAGCGATCTTCAGCGGATTGTGCTGTTGACAAAGCATCATTCAGCTTTTCTCATAAAAGGATGTAATTGCCCTGAGGGGTCTCGAGCTGTGGTCCTTGGGAATAATTAAATCATTTGCAGCTGGTGACCTGTTGTCGGGTCATGCTGGTCGAACGAGACCTTAATGTAACCAATTTACCCTTTCTCTACATGTGAGGAGATGAAGACACCAGCACGAGTCTCTCAATTGAGGACATGTTATGGGGTCTCCTGTTTAATTGGCGAAAAACTTGGATGCCAATAGCACGTCTTCAGATGCTCCTATCGAAGAACACCATGTGCTCATTCGTCCACCCACTTTCTAATAGCCTGTTGCAGATCAGGATCTCTTCAAAGAATGCAAGGCAAGGTACACCCTGATTTAAGATGCTTTGCTCCAGCCACCTTGAGTTCATTTAGTTATTTTTTTAATCGTATAATGTTAGCATGCCCAAAGGGGTTGGGCAGCCAGTTGACCTTGGACCCCTAGAGGTTTTTTTTCCTCTCTAACTAAGGAGTTTTTGGTTCCTCTCCTCCGTTGTGAATACAGAACAGAAAAGACCAGAAGACAACGCGTAGGGACCCTTGCTTTGTTCAGCACCTTGGTGCGACCTTGTTGTGAAAGGCGCTATATAAAAATGACTTGAATTGAGTTCTTGTCCAGCCTTGCGATGTTTTCACCTAGGTTTTTTTTTTTAGTTTGTAACATGCATGCTGAAATAAGCTCTGAAGATCGGCTAGGCCATTCTACGATTTTCCTTTTCTTGGTTGTATTGTCCTCTGCTTTGGGTCACTGTGATGCTACACAGTGCAACACTGCCAAAGACGAATGGAAGCATTTTCTTCTGTAGCACCAGACAAAATGATTCTGCAAACTTCAGCATTCACTCTTTTAAAATGTTAGGCTTTTGTGATGTTTAGCTTTCTGCCCGTCATTTACGGTATGTACGTTTCGGAATATATGTCGATCGGCATAGATACAGTTTTACAACTGCAGCAAGAGTTCCACAGTCGAGCTTAAAAGGATGTTAAAATTTTCATGAGCAGCTGTCCTTGCTCATGTCCCTGTGGCACAAACCATGACTCATAACCATAGTTCCTTCTCTTATAATTACTTTAAACGTCAAAAATCATTCAAATATTTATAGCCATGGAAAGCAGGAATAAAAAGAAAGTTACCGTAAATTCACAAATGGACAATCACTTATGAATTCTTCTGCCTTGCTGTCATCTGCTGTATCTAATGTTGGAGCAAAAAAAAGTTTCTAACAAATCTCTATTGCACCATTAGAGCATTACAGACATTAAATCTCTATCGCACCATTAGAGCATAACAAACATTAATGGATAAAATAAATGCCTGACAAAAAGCAAAAGGCTGTTTTGCTATTGAGTGTGAAGCAGACCCCTGTTGACCCAGTTGATACAATTTAGGATCTTATAGAGTATATTTGAATCAAATCTCATCTCAATCTCCTTTGTTCTAGAGTGAGAGGCTGCCTTAACCAGCCTATATATGACATTTCTCTCAGACCAGCAATCATTCTTGTTGCTCTTCTTTGAACTCTGTCTAAGGCTGTAGTATCATTTTTGTGTTATGCCAAATCTGAGGGCAATGTTGTAAAAGTGAAGCTAGAGCATAAATACTGTGGACTAATGTTCTACGCTTTTTGCGATCTACCCCAGCACTCTTATTTTCACCCCTTAAGTGACATAGAAGGACATAGAAGCATATTCATAAACACAAAAGTCCTCCACAACCCAGAATCGCCCATGTGATACATAGCTTCTGCTCCTACTTCTTTCTCAAGTTCAAGTTTGTCAGTATACTCATATACAGGTATATGGTATAACAAAATGCTATTTAGCTAGCTCTCAGACGATAAGTAGTGCAAAAAAAAAACAGTACAATTGTATAATAAAAGAAAGACTGAGACAACAGGCAGTGTGCAAAACAACAACAGGCAATGTGATTGATTTTCACAGTTCTCAGTTTCAAACTTCATCTGTCAGTTATCTTGGCCATGGTTTGACCTACTCCTCCATAGTATGTGCTTCCCTTGCCATTTGTTTCTATATGCCACCTTTTGTATCATTATTAACGCAACTAAGTTGCTAACTTTATGGGATTTATGATTTTTTTTTAAAAAAAATAATTTTATGATTTAAATCTTTCCAGTTGAACCAGATTCGTGAACTTTCAGGTTATCACATCTTCATATCATATTCTATCCCAGCAAGAAAAGGGAGTAAGGCAGGGTACACCCTGGACAGGACACCAGTCCATTGCAGAACGCACACGCACACGGGCCAATTGTCTTTAGACTGTGGGACGAAACAGTGGGCAAAAAGCCACATGAACACGGGGAGAACATGCAAACTCCACACACAGCATCACAAATTCAACCCAGGGCCCCACTGCTGCAAAGAGGCAAAGCTTACCACTGTGCCATCCATCTTATTGCAAGATTTTATCAACGACTTTAAATAACGAAAACTTCTATCCCAAAAACTGTTCCAGACAGATAAAAGCAACATTTGCCC